ACATTAGAAGATGAAAATTTGGTTTGGGCTGCATCGGGGGGCAGCCCTACCCATCCTCCGCAGCCCCGCTCCAAGTGCGCTTACCAGCAGCTGCAATCTCAGACAGCAGAGGATGCCAGCTTCGACTCCGGTGGCTTTATGGGGCCAGGAGGGGATCTTCCTATTGACGGGGATGGCGCAATGCAGTTACACAGCCCCCCTCTCCCCTCCCCTCCCCCTCCTTCCTTCCTTCCCTCTTTCCCCCCGTTGTGACGTGCCCCAGCTGCATTCCGGCCGCAAGTGCCGGCAGTGTAACTTGAAACTTTGGAATTTCTTTAAAAATAAAAAATTGCACTGGGCCGCATTATGACCCGACCTGGGCCGCATGAGGCCCTCGGGCCGCAGGTTGGACAAGCCTGATGTAGATTCTAGGCTGTGAAAGGCTTTAAATCCAAAAGCCCCCAGTATATTGCAGTAAATGTTATTTTAATCCCAGCTAGAGTAAATCCATTGAAATTAGTGGGACATTTTTATTCCACTCAATAGATTTAAGTTCCACTGACATCAGTTCCATTGGCTTCAACTGGCTATAGCAGGACCTCTATTTAATATAGCAAACTGGAATGAACTGAAATTAATTGATGGCAAGCACAACTTCCACAAGTTTAGTTGTATATTCAATAGGCACCCATATCAAGCAACATGGGAATACCTCAAGAACAGAGAAATGCAGTGGCATGCTCAATGCCTAGTATAGCCTCTGAACAATCCAGGCACATCACTGTTAACATGTATGGGACGAAAGGCACATATGAATAAACTAAATAAATAGTCCCTGCATAGCTTTTATATGTTCAAAAGATAGAGGTTCTCAAAGCTTCAAGGAACATAGTAACAAGCAAACAAACTAAAAAGGACAGGAAGGACATAATCTACCACAAATAAAACCAGAGCCCATCTTATATTCTTAAAGCTTTAAAAAAAGGTTAAAAAATACATTTTAAAAAAACGTTTAAGTCCTGTGAAGAAACACAGGATTACTCAAAACCAAACCTTCACTAAAGTTCCTTCCACTTCTTTTGATATACACCTGCAGTTACTGCTGAGATGGAACTTAAATTGGATGCATGCATAACATGGGAATGTAGCTAATGAATTTTAAACTACCGTAACACAAGAATCAAATCATATAATCTGTTCAGAGCTAGCTTTTATCTCAAGCAGACTGATTTATGTCTTGGTAATTCTGTCAAATACTAATGTGGAGGGCATTACTGCAGATGTTTACACAGATGTAAGAGAATTTATGCCTCACTTAAATTCCTGCATAGCACATGTAACACACAGCCACATTAAGAGAGAATTTTACATATCTGGGAGCATTATTAATGCCATCAATCCTCAAGGAAATGTCAATGCTCTGCTATAAAATCTGATGCAAAGACTGCTATTTTTCCATGCTGGCTTATAAAAAAATGTGAAAGATAAGCCTTTGTTGCTAAAGACACATAAAGACCAGCGCAAGCTAGTGTTAAGCTGAAAAACTCTTAAGAGATAAGGACTTGCCTTGAGCCACATATGAAAGCTATGCAGATCAGGTCTAACAACAAAGAGTCTTGTATCACCTTAAAGACCAATCAATTTATTGCAAAACATGCATTTGTAGATTATAGCCCACTTCACCATACCCATAAGGTATTATCCTTGGTTAGTGGGCACATACAAACTGGTTCAGAAGAAAAAGAGGAAGTAAATAATAGAGTCAAAAGGCTATAAAGTATAAGACCCTCCATATATGCTGTAAAAACTGTATCACTTTTCTGTCCATGTTAATTTAGCAACTACAGTGGTGCCTCACATGACGATGTTAATTTGTTCTGAAAAAATCACTGTCGAACGAAAACGTCATCATGCGATTAAAAGCCCATAGAAACGCATTAAAACCCAATTAATGCGTTCCTAGGGGCTTAAAACTCACTGTCCAGCGAAGATTCTCCATAGCGCGGCCATTTTCGCTGCCCGTGCAGCGAGGAATCCGTGCCAGAAAACAGCGGGCGGCTATGTTTTTCACCCGGTGGCCATTTTGAAACTGCTGATCAGCTGGCCGGAATTCATTGCTTTGCGATAATCGGTTAGCGAAACAGGGGACCAATCATCGCAAAGCAAAATTCCCCTATAGGGAACATCATTTTGCGATCGCTTTTGCGATCGCAAAATCTTTGTCGTGATGCGATTTCGTTGTCAAACGGAGCGCTCGTAATGCGAGGCACCACTGTACTGTATAGTGGGAACCAAAATCAAATTCCTTGTTATGACTGAACTGAGTAGAAGTTTTCTCATCAATTCTGGCTCAGCAATTCATGTCAAGTGTTTCCCTGTGAAGTCTTCTTACTGATACACTTAGGGAAGTCAGGTGAGGAGAACCTCAGTTGAATTTGGAGGATCATTCATAGTGCTTTGGTCACAAGTTCAACTATGGAAGTACTGTGACTCAGATCAGGAACAAATTATCCTGAAGTTACAAGTGAGATTTCATTTCCTGTGTTGGAAAATTTAAAATAATTCTGAGAAACTGGTAACATTTGGTGATCAGATGGCAAATATCAGCATGTGTTCCAAATGACAACAATGTAGGAAAATTTTTAGTTCTCAAGACACACTGCAGGTGATCTTCGATTAATAACAACACCAACATTGCCTCTATAAGCAGTTGCAGATCACAGAAATGACACCATCAGATCTTCTCCTACCATGCAAAGTTCCTCTCTGATGCCTAAGAACTGGAACTTGATCAGGGTTTGAACTTCCAACAAAAGGAATCAGTTTAAATTTGTCATGCAGAATATCAAGTCATTGGTGGTTAATTAATTGGTATAATTGTATTCTTGAAGGCTTTCATGGCCAGGATCCAATGGTTGCACACAAAAGACTAGCTAACCACACCTATCAATCACAGTGACAGATCATCTTCCTCCCTTATCACAACAATACACCCATAGCAAAAAACACCCTGATCACCATAATCACCAAAACTCCTGAAAAGGACAAAAAGCTGATCCCACAGCTACAAAATACTCAACTATCCCACACATTACACCAGAACACAGACAGAGTTCTAACTCCTATCCTCTGAAGATGCCACAGAGACTGGCAAAGTGTTAGGAAGAAAAACCTTAAGAAAACAGTCAAACAGCCCGAAAAACCTATAACAACTATTTAATAGATACTTAGGTTTTCGATTAAAACCTGTATCTGGTATATAATACCAGTTAATTTTTTATAGTTTTGATTGACTGTGCCTGGTGTTTTTTAACAACGACGATGATAATGTGCCATCAAGTCAGTTCTGACTTATGGCAATCCTTTTAAGGGTTTTCTAAATAGAAAGTACTCAGAAGCTTTGTCATTCTTCTTTTGGGGGCCATCTGGGACTGTGCAGTTTACCCAAGATTATACAGGCTGCCTCTTTTGGGATGCACAGTGGGGAATTAAACTCCCGGCCTCTGGCTTGATACCTAACTCACTGAGCTATCCAGCCAGCAACCTTCAATTAAACAGTGTTTTAAAATTGTGGTTCAATAATTGTTAGATTAATTTTTTCTTGCAATTTTGTTTCTATTCAGTTTGCTTCTAAATCAGGACTCTGAATATCTTTTTCACTGGTTGTTTTGTACTATCAAGATGCCTTTGATATCCAATGACTCTAGCAGTGTTTTCAAGATACGTGAGTTATTTAAGGAGAGGTTTTACCAGTGCTAACCTCCTCCCCCCGGGCCCTCGTGAGTTTCCCCAGCCAAATTTGAAACTAGATCTCCTTAGCCTAGTTCATAATTCTATCCACTACACCAGTGGTCCTCAACCTTGGGCCTCCAGATGTTCTTGGACTTCAACTCCCAGAAATCCTGGCTAGCAGAGGTGGTGGTGAAAGCTTCTGGGAGTTGTAGTCCAAAACATCTGGAGGTCTAAGGTTGGGGACCACTGCACTACACCATACTGGCTCTTCTTTTTCACTACATTCATCAAATCAGCACAGTGCAGGTGATTATATTGAGACTCCTGTAAATGTCACTGTATTCTTCCTGTTTGCATTCAAGCTCTCTATATAAATGACACATATGACATCTATGTATGACCTGACATGGTGGGGGTGGGAAGCTGCTGAGAAGACAGATCCAGGTTGTGGAACATTTAATACATTTAATAAGGAAGACACACCTGTGGGAAAAGGCTATGTTGGCGACTGAATAGAAAACCTCTATGAAGCCTAGACAAGTAATTGTGCACCCCTGCTTTAAAGTAAAAAAAAATCACAAGGCTCAAATAAAAACTTATTTCAGTAAATGAAAATAATATGCAAGAGTACATATAATCTCAAATAATCCGTCTGCTTAGAATTCCATTGTTGTAGTAGAAGTTATTTTAGTATATTATTCTTCCTAGGGCTATCTTATTATTAAAATAATGTAGCTATGTTTGATGGATTTTAAAAAATCCTCCCAGACTATTCCATGGAAGAACTTTTACATGCCTCAGTACTTCTATTTTGAATAGCATGGCTGGTTCAGCATTTATCCCCCATCATATTTCCCATGATCTGGATGCATTTGGTATGGGTTTTTCTTATGCAACTGTATTAAATGGTTTAACTGCTTTTTAACCAGCAAAATGTCTTTTTAATGTGATGCATTTTCCAACAAACCAAAACACTTACAAAGACTCCAGGACTCTCTCTCTATACTACTGCAGAGGCAAATCAGCCTCAGGGCAGTAATCAGACCTCATGATTAATGCCCCTTCACCCTCCTGACTTAATCACTTAGAGATATCACTGTGGAGGGCTTGATTTTGTAACAGACCTCTCTGCCAGCCAATCAGAGGGCACAGCCACAGCTTAAAGGATTATGTTGTGTATGTATGTGTTGGGGGAGGTCACATGGATATAGGGAGTCCGGTGCCACTAACAACAGCGATGCAGTGCAGTCAGCATTCTTCTAAGCTCTGCTATTGTTTACCCTTCACAGAAATGAGACACAGGAGCTTTTGCTGAACTTTCTAAGAAAGTTTCGACATGAGAAGCAAAATGTAGTTCTGCCTACTATCAAGAAGTCCGTGTACTGAAGTAGGATAGTGCTTAACAGGTAAGTGTTTTCTATGTGGTTCTTTTACAAAAATAAAGATGAAAGCAGTAAAATGGTATTATCTATGATATATATAAACAATTAACCAGCAGAACCATAAAATTTCTACAGGAGAAAATGGTCTGCTACCCTTTCCTGATGTGTAAGTCAAAGAAAAGCAATTTTATTAAGACACTGTGTATGTTCCTATCATTATAATCATTTTCTGAAAATGTTAAAATATCAGTATTATGCCAAATTAAATTTCAGCTAATTTTATAGCAGTCTTCATAATTTTGAAGAAAAAAATCTTACATGCACTGAAATATGCTAGTGTCTTTAATTTAATAATTCATCCTTTGTCACTCATACAATACAGAATTATGTCAGCACATACAAGCAAGATATAGTTTCACAGCAGAGTAAAGTATTACATAGGAGCTATTTCATCCTTTGCAGCTTACGTTTAATATATTTTTGTATATTAGATATATTAGAAGTTAGCAACTAAAACTCTTAGCAAGCTAGATTTATTTTCATTATGCCATTAAAACAGAACGAAGGAAGAAAATGTTAAACTTCATTATGCTGAAGCAGACTGGCTCAGTACTTTAATGCTAACATAGACTTCAAACAGCTATGAACTCTATTTTGCAAGATCATGTATATTAATTATGCACACAGACACAAGGCATTCTCATAAATTTAGCATCTACATGTCTACCTGTGGTATTAAGCAAAACTGAAATGAAACCCTGTCTGAGGTGAAACAAGGAGTCTTGTTGCATCTTAAAACTTAACAACCTAATCTGCTGAAGTGGTATTACACTATAATAAATATGCCTTTAAGGTGCCACAAGATTCTTTGTTAACTTTACTGTAACAACTAACGGGGTGCCATTCTAGAAATTGTCTGAACTGAGACATTAGATTCTCAGTAAAAATCCTAACTAAACAAAAATGCAACAAAATGACACAGTGTTCCGGATTTCAGCTCATTAATTTCAAATAAATTGAAGAGAATGTTTTCTTATTGATATCAGAGAGCTGTCAAAAGTTCTTAATGGCTGCACACATTTCAGATGAAGTATTTTGAACGGAAATATTTCTAAGAATATGTTTAAACAAGCATATGACTTGTTCCATTAATAAACACACATTTTTACTTGAAATAATAATTACATTAGCTGAAAAACAACTGCATCAACTTTAGCAAAACTAAGATCCAAATAATGAAATCTTGCATACATTATATCTCGCATACACAAAAATCCCCACAGGCTAGGATGAGCCACATCTACTTGCAGAACAAGCCCAAGAATTAAATGTTTACAGAATAAATGTTGGGGGAAAACATACACAACCATTCAAACAGAGACATTTACACAGGATACACTAATTCTGATCTATCTACCCATTTGATCTACAAGGGCCTGGCAAGCAATTGCACATTTATTGACTGTGTGGTCTGATATGGAACATCCAGACCATCTGGAGAAGAACTCCAGTGTCTCAAAATAGGAAGCCAAGGAGGACAAGGCTTTTGTATGTTTAATAGTTGTCAGAAGCAAAGACTGCATCAACTGCAGTCTTTCTCAGACGGCATAAGCTGTTCCTGCCACCTCCTCCTTTCTACAGAAGTACAGTATTAGATAAATTGAAGCCATGCCTTTATATCATTTGGGTGCCAATACTATAGCAGCAGCACAGGTCTGAATCATTTCAGCGCCCCTAATTTCATTTGTTGGGCATTTGCTTTGCCTTTTTACATGTATAGCAGCCAGTCCTTTCTTTCATTTACATTTCTGAGCCTTCAGTTTCTCTCCCACAGTAGCTCTCAGAGGTTTCCCCCCCTGATTGTTAGTTTCACTGATACATGCATTACAACAGAAGTGGAAAATCTGGGGTGGGGGGGGAGAACCACAACACAATGTAGTCACATTGTTCTCTGGGTTTCTGATCTTGATTAGGACTAAATGGATCATTGTTGGTGATCAACAGAATAACAACCACACAGAAGTAAACATAAATGTATGATTTGTATATCTGAAGGTCATCTATTTCAGTCTTCTCACTAAGATGAAGTCAGGTTCCAACTCCATTGAAGCAGTTCAATTTTGGGTGTTTAACTTGCCTTGGATTATTTAACCCAAGTAAATGGGGGCAGTGGTTTATTTTGTTGCTTTAGTGTTCTATAAAATTGACTTTCCATCAGTGGAATAGGCTGCCTCGAAGAGTGGTGGAGTCTCCTTCTTCAGAGGTTTTCAAGCAGTCTGGATGGTCATCTGTTGGGAGTACTTTGATGGATGTTCCCGCATGGTAGGGATCTGGACTGGATGGTCTCAGTGGTCTCTTCCAACTCTATGACTTTACGATGTTCAATTCATGTGTCATTTAACAATGCCTCTGCATGTGCCCATATGAAAGGATTTGGAAATTACCAGGTATGCTTCATCCAAAAAGGCACAGGAACTACAAACATTTATGACAAACAGGTCTATTACAGTGCACCAGCACCATGGATAAGCTGCACAGATCCTATTGTGTCAAGTTGACGGGCGGGTGAGGGAGAGACTCGGGACAAGATCAACTTGTAAGAGCTATTTGTAGAGGAACAGAGGAAATGAAACACGGTCACTCTTCTCTCTTGAAGGAAGACTCCAAGAAATAGAAGCGAAATTTGGGTCTCTTGCATGCTTGTTTGGGTCTCTGTGAAGATGTGCTTTTGTACAAGAGCATTTATTTCAAATACACAATAGAACAGCACAATAGCAAAAAGGGTAGTCTATCTAGCAGAATAAATTGGGTTGTGCTTACCCCCCCCCCAGCCTTTGAAGATTTGGAATATGCCAAATATTAACAAAAAAGTCAAAATATTAAAAATAATTACAAACTACTGTGTAAACTTCCGACATAACAATTTTTTTTCATTATCTGTGTTAACAGATGGTAAAATTACACAATTGTAACTGTTTCCATTGCAGTAATTACCAATTTAAAAGAAACAGTAGCATTTCAATCAGCTTCCTGATAGATCACTTATTTTGGGTATTTTGTTGTTGTTAAGTCGTGTCCGACTCTTCGTGACCCCATGGACCAGAGCACGCCAGGCCCTCCTGTCTTCCACTGCTTCCCAGAGTTGGGTCAAATTCATGTTGGCCCCTTTGGTGACACTGTCCATCCATCTCATCCTCTATCCTTTTCCACTTGCCTTCACACTTTCCCAACATCAGAGTCTTTTCCAGGGAGTCTTCTCTTCTCATGAGATGGCCAAAGTATTGGAGCCTCAGCTTCAGGATCTGTCCTTCCAGTGAGCATTCAGGGTTGATTTCCTTCAGAACGGATAGGTTTGTTCTCTTTGCAGTCCAGGGGACTCTCAAGAGTCTCCTCCAGCACCACAATTCAAAAGCATCCATTCTTTAGCGGTCAGCCGTCTTTATGGTCCAGCTCTCACTTCCATACATTGCTACTGGAAAAAATCACAGCTTTGACTATGCGGACCTTTGTCGGCAAGGTGATGTCTCTGCTTTTTAAGATGCTGTCTAGGTTTGTCATTGTTTTTCTCCCAAGAAGCAGGCATCTTTTAATTTCGTGGCTGCTGTCACCATCTGCAGTGATCAGGGAGCCCAAGAAAGTAAAATCTGTCGTAGCCTCCATATCTTCCCTTCATAAACACTTTCTTTGCTGCTCCAGAGTGATTTTTGCCTTCTTTTTAAATTGTGGTTGCCATGGCTTTCCAATATAGGCACACAAACAAGATCTTATATGTAAAATGCAGACTCGGTGATGACAGCAGCAAACTGTACATTCCATTGGTTGGCACTTTAGGTTTCCAAACCATTCCATTCAGTTACTCTTTACAAAAAGGCAGCTGTTCATTGTGCTAAGCTCTTGTGAAAGTTTACATCCTTATTAAAGCAACACATTACATGTGGGTAAAAAAGTACATTATCTGAAAAATTTCCCAATTCAGTGGAAGATCAAAAGGATCCTTTCCACTTCCCTCACTGTTGCACTGTTGTGAGGCAGTTTCAACTGAATATTTCATATGAGAATATGTTATAATGTATATGCATACAGACAGCATATATTGACGCATAATTACACAACAGCTTAAAACGTCTACTCAGTCATTATTAAGTGTTGATGAAATATAGTTAGTTACATCTACTAGCAATATACTGGATGCTTATAGTCTAAAATCAGAAAAACAAACCAAAGTAGTTGGGATTGTTGTTGTTCATTTTGTCTAATTTGCTTGCACAAACATGGCTAATTCTTCAATAACTAGAGTCCAAAATGTTACCAAAGGGCTTGAACATGCCTGAGGTACCTGACTGTCATTGAACAACCAGGCTAAATATCCAGTTTTGGGGGATTCTCCTCAATATCAAGCCTGATTAGCTAGGCAGTGGAGGACTGTCAGCAGTATTCAATAAATTCAAATGTAAAAGTCCTTGAGACATATGGAACTAGTTGCAGAAATGTTTGGGTCTTGACTGCTCTAATAAGAACTGCAATCATGGCTGGGTTTGCAGATGTTCGTGAATGAAATATATGGAGAAAGGCCAACCAAATTCATGATGTACCAAAACTGTCTTGCCCATGGACTACAACTGCCATCATCCCGAGGCAGCGTAAGAGGAAAACTGCAAAGTTAGGCCAGGCTGAGAATACTCCTAAATAGTTTCCAACATTCCAAGGCTGGGAGGAGTTTGTGTTCAGCACAGTCTGAGTTGACCTAGAATACAGTTGCCCAGTATTCAATTCAACCAGCCCTTAGCTATACTTGCTGGTTTGGATTGCACTCTAAGTATGAGTTTAGGACTGGAATCTTCAGTGTATTGGAACAGCAGAATAGAATGAAATATTATACCCAGCTCACTGGGGAGAGGGGGTGTTGTTTGCAAATTATGCTGTAAACTTTCCAGAGTACTTCAGAACTATGAGGTGGTATAAAAGTCAAAAAACAACAGCACATAGAAAAGGAGATGAAATTACAGAGCCCAAGATAAAGTTTT